TGTCGATTTCCCTAATCGGAAATTTAAATGCTATTTAAATGCACTTCAAAAATATATTATAGGAAAAAAAAACAAAACTACACTAAACAAACTTGTTTATTGCTGTACAAACTTGTTTTTTTTCTAATAAAAATTACTCCATCTTTAGCAATCTTAAGCCCGCGGTTACCTTTTTTGTTGTAAACTCGGTCCGGAAATTTTAAGCAATAAAATAGGTCGATTTTAAACTCGGCCCTGACATTTAAGATAATGAAAAAGGTCAGTTGTACACTCATCCCGATAATTTTGACCCATAAAATAAATAATAAGCTGGTCATAATTTAATTTACAAATAATAAAGTGATAACGTATCTGTATCTTATCATGAATAATTTATTGTTAATTAATGTTAAAATATATTTAAACATTGAGACAAATATTTTCATTTTCGTATTGGACTTTTGAAACAACGTTTCAGTAGTGTTTATACAACCATGACGGTGGCACGCATAATTGAATCCCAACGTGGATAATCACTGTTTTAGAATATTTTAAATATTCTAAATTAACTCGTACGTTAGCTTTAGATGAAATAAAGTGGCGATGTATAAACCGCAAATATACAACCTTTTTAAATACATTTGAAATAAGTAATAATATTATGGAGAAAAATGATGATCATAGCCATGAACCCATCAGGGACCAAGTAATATAAAGACAATGTGTTACTGCCGTGGCCAAACGCAAAGCTACTGAGAATATTTGCACTAGGCCAAATAAAATTTGTTTTAGTGTATTAAACAGTGAACCTGACGCGCAAGATCTGCAAGTAAATGATATTTGGTATGTTGAGAGGAATATGTATAACGCCAGAAGAAAATAAATGTCTGCACTGCCAAAATCAATCGACGAAGTCTATGAGGTATTAAAAAGTATGGAAATAGTTACAAATAGGAATACAAATTTTTTATTAATTAATGATAGATAGAAAAAAATAATCATTTTTAGCTGTGATACAAATTTAAAAATCCGCTGGGTAATGCTGGTTCTCAAATATCATTAGAATATTTTTATTTGAGCCAAGTTTACACGACAATAATTTTTACGAAAAAAAAAACACGGACTAAGTTAACAATAGACCTATTGAACATTTTTTTTCTTCGAGCCGAGTTTACAATCGCTCAAAATAACTGGACATATTGCGGGGAAAGAAAAAGCTGTGGAACTTTTGGAAAAACGGGTGTACCCTTCAGTTAATTGGATCACTCATCATTGGCTCCGAATGCGTGCACGTATTTATTATAGACTTCGACGCACGTTATTGTGTAGTAAATTCACGGTCGTGCGCACGTAAATAACACGAGCAAGGTCAACAATACGTATTATATCGACTTCAATCGCCATCGCTGACGCCACGTGGGTATACGTGTGTCCGTAAGACGTATAAAATATTGTAATATTATTTTACCTATATAGAAATACGAATCCAAAATGATTTTGATTTCGGATTTGTTCCGGTCCCCGTGTATAATGGCCGTTCGCGGAACAATCACGATCGTGGGCACATATCGTCTATTGTCACAGCACCAGCAACGACGATACAATATTATAATTATTATTATTATTGTTATTATTTCGATGTTTATTATCATATTCGACTGATTAAAATAAACAAACAAAGTACGAAAAAAAAAATCACATGTGTTTTGTTCCATTAACGATCCTATGCCACCGTCTGCCCACGGCATATTTCACTTGTTTTTTATTTTTCTATACCTCCGAGTGCGCGTATTGTAATATTAATTTATTGTATTAACATGACCGCGTGTACGTTTTCGTAAAACCGATTCCGACACGTTTCGTTACACAGGTATGTAATACGTCTACATAATTGCAGTAGTGCACACCGTAAAGGGGCACGTGTCTAACCTTAAGCAATGCGATTGTAATTCTTTAGCATTATTCATTTGGTGAGAGAACCGAAAGCTAACGAACGATCGCGACCATTACAGTATGTCCGTCCGTAGATATAAACTACTATTGGTTATAAATATTAGATTTTTATAGTTAATGATGTCGGCAACGAATGATCCGTTGTCGATGTACATTTTTAATGTTATTATAACATTCTATAAAAAGTGTGCCCCATTTATGAGTTCGACAATTACATGTTACCGACTTTATGAATTCGGTGTATAACAGTCTTACCATTATATATGCACCACGAGTAAAAGTATTTTCCTACACTATTTTATTTCCCCGTTTCAAATATGATAATATTATCTTATATTTTGATAATATCCAAGGATCAAGATGTGGATGACGTTTATATGATTTAAACGAACCGATAGTTTTATATTGTTTTGTTTGCAACCGTAGGTATACTGCAGGTAACATTCTTCGCGAGTATGGGGAATGTTGATCACGGTGCACGGGTAAACTGCAGATACCGTTATTACATCGTTAATTGTAATAGTATAACAGTAGCAATTAATCATTAAGCGCGTTGCGAAGGTCGTTCATTTGCGTAAAGAAGTAGCAGCATAGAACTACACGTTCGTTAAAGACGCTGCACAAATGTTTATCAACAATTAGCTGAATTACCCGTCGTTGGCGGGTTTAAGTAAATAAATGTATGTAACCTGCCAAGATTAAATTTTGTTAAATCTATTGACATTTTTGAAAACACCAAGTTTTCTGGTAACAAATTTTGTATCTTGAGATTCAATTCGTTGACCTCCACATTTTTTGCTACTAAAATTGCTCTTTCTGCCAGCCACTCATGATTTGTGTATTGTCTGTGTACACTGGAACATATCCGGTCAATGAGAGCATCTTGCGAATAAATGATTGTGCAGAAATCGTTCGGTAATTTTATACATCCCGTTTCATCTGTAGTAACTTTCCCATCTCCAATATCTAACAATTGTTTTGAGAATCTTTTGCACGCAGCTTTTTTTGATTAAATCGAAATAGAAGTATCGAAATCGTTCGCTATCTATCTTTATATATATTTCGACCATGAATTGTTGACAAAGCTTATGCATCGTAAAATAACTTAGTCCTGATCGCGTCTAATCATCAACCGATATGCATAATTTTTTGAACTAACATTCTTATTTGTTTTGGCACCTGTTGCGGGATCTTTTTGTTTAATATTTATGCAATACCCGTCATTTACTACCAAAAATAAAATTAATAGTTTTTAAATAGTTTTTAATAGTTTTTTAATAATTTTTTAATAGTTTTATTTAATATAATTCATTTTCAACAGCGCAGTTATCGACCTGGTCAAAAAATATTAAACCGATTTCAACCCTTTAAATTCAAAATTTCGAAAAATCCTTTCTTAGCGCACGTCTACATCATAATAGCTATCTGTATGCAAAATTTCAGCCAGATCCGTCCAATGTTTTGAGCTGTGCGTTGATAGCAGTCAATCAGCTTACTGTTTTATATATATATATAGAAGAAGATGTATAAATTATAATTTACATATTACGTACATGATAATTGAATCACGGTGAAAATAAACACATATTATACGTATAACGAGTGGGTATACTAAAACTGTGAAATGCGAGGCGTATTGGTTTGAAACAATATCGTATCTCTTTATGATATTGCATCGGTCTAAATAGTAAACGTACGAGTATATCTTATATTGGAATGACATTGAGTGTGCGTGTAAATTACTGGAGAGAAGAGGGAGATGTTGTAGGACACATGTGGCTTATAATATATGTAATAATAATTACCTACGTACATTAACATATTCCACTCGTTAAATCAGTTAAAATATAATGTTAAGTTAAAGAGGTGCCGAATAACTGTATAACACCTAAGCCAGTGGCGTATAGAGAAAATATTTTCAGGAGGGACTACTATGGACAGAGTTAAATTACCACTGCTATCTAAGATTTACTAACAAGAAACAGTAGGTACTTATCTAAATTTCATTTACAGAATGTCCCAAAACGATTTGACGTTGGACGCAAATTCTAATTAAGCATAAAGCATCATTAAAATATAACATACGTTTAAAATAATTTTTAAGTTTTTTAAAACATTTCGGGGGGGGCTGTAGCCCACTGCCCTCCCTATATACGCCACTGGTACACGCACTGTGTACGTGTTGTATATTATTATTATTATTATTATTATTAAATAGTATAAGCATATATTATGTTCGTATTGCGACAAAAAATATGACTATGAGTAAAGCTTGCAGCTATTATATACACTTTACAACCAGTAGCGGATTTAAATGAGCAAAAGTGGATATCCACGGATTGGGCCCTTGCTCGCGTGAGCTCTTGGACTTGCTCCTCGAACATTTTTTCTCTATTAAAATATGTAAAGCAAATGTTTAAATTATTTACTAAAAAACAAAAATAATGACTTGTCCTTGAATTATTATTTTATTAAGCTCCTTACAATATTTGCGAACTGGACTTTTTTCTTAAATTTGCTACCGTGTACACTGGCAGATATGACTAAGAATGGGTACATCGGTGTAGTAAAATAATATTACTCGATATTATATATGCTTAAGACTGAATCCTGTTTAAAAAGGTCTTAGATCAAACGATGGGTATAATGTTCTGGACCTGACGTTTTTCACACTGTCGAACATTTTAAATTATAAGATAAATATTTTGATTTAACACATTTTTACGATAACACTATTTTTGAAAATATCACATTTTATGCACATTATCTCGTCGAAAAACAGATATTAATTTATTTACGGGTGCATTATAGTTAACTAATGGGGTATGTAATTATAGCCATATAACCGCAACTATATAATTGTAGAGATAGAGGACTGGGGACAGTAAAATATGTATATATCAAATACAAATAGTATTGTTACATATAATTGTTGAAATCATAAAAACCATATTAGGTATAGTGATGAAACACGTATTATCATACGAATTAAAAATAAATTATTATTTTACGAAAATCCCAAGAATAAATTATAATATTAATTATTCGAAACTTGTTGATTTGTTCAGACCACTTGTTTGTTCGACCACATCCGATGGGGCGATGCGTTCGTGATCGTCTACAGCGTAGTGGACTGGTCGAGTTTCATCGAAGCAGAAGATCTTCTGGACAAGTTGAGCAAACTCAAGTTGCCGTCGTACTTCGCTACGTTGTTATTAGGCAACAAGAGAGACTTGGACCATTCCAGGTACGTCAGCGTGTAATGCAATACATGTTTGTATTATAGTCATATAACTCCGCATCATGTATACGAAGTGGCACGGCACATTTTTTTCCCGGTGAAAATAACTCAGTACTTATATTTTCATGGTTTTTTTTTTTTTGCTTTATTATAATTTTTTGGAAGTAACGTTAACGGACGCTCTATTCCCTCACTTTTCCGTGTTTAGTACTCTACGAGTATGCTATCCTATTTACTCATTGTATTGCTTTGTTAATATTATTTCTCTTATGAATAAAAATGTTAAATTTTATAGCCAGGAGGAAAAAGAGGGGGCCATATGGAAAACGTTATTTAAAATTTGTCTTTTCATCCCTTGGCCAGTTTAAGGAAATAACGTAAGAATTTTTAATTTCTATAAAATTTAATAATAGCAATTTTTTTCGAGAAAACATAATGTGTCGTTACTCTGTATAACAAATGTTCGCGCTCTTGTGTATGTGTGTTTTTATAGTTAAGAGATGGAATATATATAGTAATGAGTGTGCTAGAAAAGGATACGGAGTGAGATCAAAAGGAGAGAGAGGGAACGGGTGAGAAGGAATGAAATATTTTGTACGGCGGAACAGATCCTAAAAATACGAGGATGAAATGTTCACCGAGACTGTGTGTTATCGCGCGTGATCCTCGTGTAATAACGTAAAACGACACACGAGGAGACATATATTAATATCATGTAGGCGGGGGAAAAAATAAAACAAAATCGCCAGAATTCTGTTTTGGTCTCTTTCACCGAACGCGCGCACGTGTTATGCTCGTCCGGCGCACGTCCTCTCACGTTTTCTCATTGTTTTCCAACTTATTTTTCCTCCTGTATCGTATGACAATATATAATTATAATTACGACGACGAGAACGTCTGTATAACATGAAGCGTTAGACGTCCTAAGTTCCAGACTTCCTGTACGCTACGAATACAACATGTGTTTTCATATTTCCGGATGTGTATTTATAGGTGAATAACCAGAGAAAAAGGTAAAAAAAAAATTATAGCAATCATTTATATAATTATTAATTTGACTTCAAATCGTTATTAAATATAGGGTATTGATTACCATAGAAAACATCTAACTTCCCATTCATTCATTTGATATTTATCAATACACTTCGATCCTGTTAAGAATATATATATATAATAGTATATGTAATTTGTAACGATAACACATTCAGAAACATTAATTGCCGTTTGTACCGCAATTTGGCACAGTTTCATTAGCGCAACATTATCGGATTTTTTTTTAGACAGTGAATTTACTAACCTTACACTATTTTCTAAACTTTCAACACCCCAATGTTGCTTTACTACATTTCATGTCCCTTTGAGTACCTACCACAAATTACACGCAAAGTGATTCTATAGAAGACATTCGATTATAACAATAATACAATGATAATATAATAATGATCCCACCGTTCATATTTGACTGTTTATTATTTCACTATTCGACTTACACAAATAATAATAAGTAAATAAATGTATTCTACGAATGTATAAAATAGATGAGAAACAATACGTAGCTCAAATTGCAGACGATGCAGACGAGCAGTGAACAATTAACGTTATTCGAGGTTCTATAATAATAAAACCAATATTTCGTATCCTCGGGTAATCGCTCGGGTAAAACGTATACATATTCTTATTTTTCAGAAGAGCGGAGGATTGAAAAATAACGATAATATTTGAATTTAATTATACACTCCCAATTATGATCATCTTCATTATATATGTGTTCGTACACATATATAATTAAAATATAATATTATTATCGTTTCTAATTTTTGATACCGTCAGGCGATACAACAGTCAGCAACGTTGTATTGTTTTGTGAATATTTTCTAGGTGTATTTTACTTACACATTTATATTTTCTTTAATGAACCGCATAAAATTATTCAAAGAAAAATAATTACAAAACCAATAGTATATATTATATTTGTGTATATATTTGTGAACAAAAAAACGACAGCGATGAAAAGCGAGTGGGTATAACTGTCTAGTTTGACAAATAAATAAAATACGTTCGCTTTTGTATTATCTGCTATCCACGTGAGAATATTTCTAGAGATCACGTTTTTAAAAATGTTTCTCCTGTATTTCAAGATCAAGTAGGTACATCAGTTTTATTTCACGTGGCACCGGCCATACATCGTTTCCAAGATTCGTAAGAAAATATTATTTATAAAATAATATGAGTTTTGTAAATATCTATCGTGTTGGGTTTAATTATTTAAATGATTTCCATCTAGGAAGAGACGACCATAAAAATAAATATTTCAATCATTTTCCACAAGAATGTTTTATATAGTTACATATGTTTGATGTATATGTTTACCGACCGTTTTTGCATTATTAATAACCATACCGTATTAGATTATTATATAGGTATATTGTTTTGCAAGAAAGAAATATATTTTATAGTTTTAAACAAACATCGCATGAAAACGGTCGTCATTTTGTGTCCTGAAAGATTATATAATACATTAATTTACATAATACTTAATATTACTATACATATACTCGTCTTTAGCGCTTACAGTTATAATTCTATAATATACATAGACACTTATCAGATTTTAGGTTGAACAAACATGATTTCTATAAGTCATTTTGTGTGTACTTCTGAGTTTAATAATAATAAATGTTGCTCTTATTATTATTGAAGATAGCCCCCCCACACACACACACCACTACCACCATATATAATTATATAATATAACCCAGTAAGTATATTATTCATTTCAATGAGCATAATTGTATATATTAATTATTATATAATTATTATTATATATAATAATGTTCTTCGCAATGATTTAAATAGAACGACACTAAATAATTAATAAAATTTTCTCGAAAGTTATAAAAATACATAATTTAACAAATATAGTGGAACCCGTTTAAGACGCTCTCGCTTAAGACGATTTCCCGGCTAATACGCTTATTTTTACGAGTTCCATGATTTTAACAACATTTAACATGTAATTTACTCTGGATAATACGCCCTATGTTCCCGGATAATACGCTCGTATTGTCAATGATGTTCATATAAAAATATATTGTATATACATATACATTGTATAAAATTTAAAGAAATACCTCACTAATAATAACGATAACCAATAATAACAAATAGTAACAAATGCTCTTGATCATGTTAATCAGCTAAGAAAATTAATTCCATCTTTTAACAACGCTGACGAAACTTTACATCATCTTAATAAAATTGAAAACTTCCTGTATTCAAAAAAAACATCAAAACTTTGAAACAATGAAAGATAGACGATTTTTTGAAATAGGTAATATAAATGTAATAATTCACTCTGCAAAGTAAAAAATATAATTTATATATATATGTTACCGGAAAAGATGAAAATTCAGGAATTGTCAGTATATCCTAGTCATTGTTGACAATGACTGGAAAGGTTAGGCAATGTTGGATATTTCGTAGTTTTATCAACATTTCCGTATTATATTAGGCAATGTTATAAATTTGCATTTAAATAAATATCAACGCCGCTTTATCGGTGATTGATCTGATTATGGAACATTCAAGTCTTCATGAAATATATATTAATTTTAAATAATGAACATTTTTTTAAATTTTTTGTGGTGTTACGAAAAGAGCCCTAGGCAAACCATTGCGGAGCACCAAAGGCTTCGCGGGGCACAGTTTGGGTACCGCTGTACTAGTTATATAATTCCAAGTGTTATAGTAATTTACCACGTAAAAATAAAGATTAAGATTATGATTTATCCTAAATAGCTAATAAGTATTAAAATATATTAAATTAATTTTTAATGTTATTATCAATGCCTTCTTTTATTAGGAATTGTTATCAATGACTAGGTATTGACATTAATTCCTTACTAAATCAGGCATTATCGTTACTGACTAGTCATTGTCAATACGGACTGATTGTCATCTTTTCCGGTAACATATATATAACATGGATGTATTGTGAAATATAATAAAATTTTTTGTTCCCGCGTAATACGATTTCCCGCTTAAGACGCTATTTGTAACTGGTCCCTTGGAGAGCATCTTAAACGGGTTCTACTGTATATTTAACAGAAGTTATAATTTTTAAATAATATCTTAATTTTAAAACACCGTGGTAAGAAAACGACGTCATAACTTTCAAAGTATCTATTCGCTAGCGGTCTAATATATATTTCATTAAGATGGGCAATCGTTTCAAAAATGCAATTAAAATTGTTTGATTAAAATTAAATAACGTGGGTGGTGGTATCGAATTAAATAACGAAATACTCATCATACAGCTTGCGTGTTTTAAGCAAAGACAAATGTTTACGTCTATACCTAACGAATTCTTAAAGTTCGACGCTACCGTTTTTATATTAAATTGATATACCCAATGCCCAACCATGATTAAATTTCTAAAAATATTATACATCAAACTCATCATAAACATCTATGTAAAATACATTTAGGTAAAATACTATTATTTAAAAACAATACACATTATTTATCTATCAAACGTATAATATAATTGTATCGATTATTAGTTATTGTAATATTAATCTTTTAATAATAACATTGTATTAATATTGTCAAACATACATTCAAAACTAGTGTATTGTTATATTACGATAAGAGTCTTTGGTTAAAATATTGACAAAAAAATCAAATAAAAAAAATTACTCTTTCCTGTGAGAATAATCAATGTATAGATTTAAATGATCACGTATAGCCCGAAAGCTCTAAAATAAAATAAATCTCGTGCGTCCCTCGAAAACTTAAGAGTTTAACGTATCAAAATATCGCCTATTCCTGCATCGATACACCGTATTACAATTTAAGTTAAAACTTAAATTTGTTTTCATCAGTGCCAACAATCAGTAATTCTTTCTCAAACACTTTAATATTTATTGATTCAAATAAAAACACCGACGGGATATTATTTAAATTTTAAAATTGAACTGTTTGCCACGCTTATGCGATCGTGCGTTCATAATTTATATTGTTTGTTCGATCATCGGGATTGATGACAAGCCGACTAATAACTGAGCGAGAAATTTTATTGGCAGTCTACTTCGCGAAATTTTAACAAAATAAACATTCAGATTTAAATTATGGGCTGTGCAATCAAGTTGTCTTTACGATATCCACACTCTTGTCGATTTGTTTGGTGTTCAACAATTAATATCGAACGTTCGCGTATGATAATATAATTTACCGTTCCACTCAGAAATCGACCCACTCAAAGATCGTATTGTAGTAATCACGATTTACAGGAATTAAGATATACGGTTAATACCATTTTATTGCACATTATTTAAGCCCCAATCATTTTGAAAAAAATGAATTCCCCTCCTCCTTCCACTAAAGAAATTTAAAAAAATAACCATCTATTTATGTACCGTGTTCTACTTAACACACTCGAAATACTTTCATAGGTCGTATGATAGGAAAAAACTCCAAGATCTATTGCAGATCGAGACATTTTACCATATTACCCACACAGTATTTTCCAACTATAACGATAGAAACAATATTTATGTATGATGGGAATTTAAATATATAAAATAAAAACAATATACAACATTAAATATAAATTTGATTTTATACGTTGAACCTGAAACATGTAATAAGAATATTTTAACATTCGAAAACAAATATCTATTACTTAATTCAATACATAAAAGTGTAATACCAATGGATATTAAACATTTATCAAATATGTTTTAATATATATGTATAGTTTTTAAATATTTATTAAATATTAAATAAATATATCTATGCTGTGTGGGTAGGTGCGCAGTGACCTAATTGTTGACATATGTGACGAGTAACACTCACACGGCCTTGAAATTCACACCGGGTTAGCAAATGAAACGCAAATTACTTTCCGACATCCTAAAACATCTGTAATTCGAATAGATAAGATTTACGTCAAATTTTCTTTTTCTTTCTAAAGCGGAGCCCAGCCAGGATTATCATTTGCACCCTGGCCTCCCAAGATTTAAATCCGGCACTGCGGATAACGTCATTGTTCGTAAAAATGTGTTTCGGCGAGTGAGGAGAGTAAATGGTCCGGTGAAAACATCCCATCGAATGCATATCCCGTACGCGCATTTGCCTATGCGGTGACGGTGTGGACGGAGACGTGCGTTCACCGTAAATCATGTGCACAGGGCCGACTTTAGATAAGATCGACGCGTGCAAAGAACGCGTTAGAGGCGTCAAAATTAGAGTAACATTTTATCAAACGTTGACGACGCTAATTATCTTCTTTAGATAGAATAAAATAACTTGCAATACGACTTGATTTAAATTTAATTATTGTTGCTATTTATTATTATATCGACATGCAAAGAATGACCGCACTTGTAGGTACAATTACACAGTTTCGTTAAACATCTCTGTATTATTGTTATTACTTTTGTTCTCTGTATGATTTACAAATATATTTTGATCACGAATTTCCTCCTGCTCCCCAAATTCTGCCCGTTCATAAGTATTGTGTGTAAGTTATATATCTATGTCGTTTATGAGGAGGAGGGTGGGGGGAGAGGGTGCCAAAATAATGTTTTCACTGGGCGCTGCGAGAGCCCTAAAACCGGCCCGGCGTGTGCGTACTATCATGACTACATACATAATACCACATTAATCTTCGTTAACCCTTTTACTGACTATGTTTACGACGGTGCTGCAGGTGCGTGGCCGTGGACGCGGGACAAGAGCTGTCGCTGCGGTTCGGGTGCCAGTTCTACGAGGTGAGCGCGGCCGACAACTTCGCCGGCGTATCGCTGGCGTTCCACTCGTTGCTGCGCGAGACCCGCGCTGTCCAGCTGCTCCGGGGGCTGCCGATCAGACGCAAGCTGGGCGTGAACAGCGTGTCCAAAGTGCTGGGAACGATATTCGGCAAGAACAGCAGCAAACGGGACCGGAAGAAGCGGCCGTCGCTGAGCATATGACCCGCGTGGGCGTCCGCTACGGCCGCCGGCGCTCCGAACACGACGCTCACGCTGTGAAAACAGAAAACCAAGCCGACGACGCCCACGCGCGCGCTCCCTGCCCGCAACCCAGGCTAGCCGCCCGCCCGATACGTGTAACGTATTTCGTGTAAACCCCTCTTGACCCCCCCCTCCCCTACTTCATCCCGATAGTGTAATTAATTTATTAAACGTGCTGCGTTTCTGTTTAACGACGACGAATGCCTACGAACGGTTTCCGGACGGTGAAAAAAATTTGATAATATTCGCCTACGCAAGATTCCCGGTCAACTACTCGTCAAAGCGAGTCTCGTGGTGACGACGCGCAAACATATTATTACCAAATGTGTCGATTCGTTTGCACTTTGGTTGCAACAGCGAAAAACCGTCGTGCGCAAAGGCGAATAAAGTACTCCGAAGATTTTTCCACTGACGAGACGTGCGGTTTGCCAACAACCGATACATGTAAACATAAAACAGTAATGAAAAACACATGTCTTCATACGCGTTCGGCGAAAAATACTTCCAACGATTTGGGTGCGGTGAAACGTCATATCGGTGTCGCACCGAGCGAAATATTTGGCAAATCTCTACATTACAAACACGATAACAACCGGTGTATGATGATGATGGATATGGTGTTAACTGGTCTAAGAAAGAATTGTTGAAATGAATGCGTTCCGCATAGGGGATGGTCGTATGAAGTGGAATATTGTTGGAACATCCTCCTGCTAATGGGATTGGACGGAGTACGGAATAATACACACTGCATCTATTTTAAATTATCAGCAATAAAATCGATAAAAATCAGGAGTTATAGAATTCATGTTTTTCTTCATCAATGTTCAGTCGGACACAAATATCCATTTACCCCTTAACTAAAAGAGCCGTCGGTCGTCACTCGTCAAGAAAAACGTACGAATTATATTTATCTAATGGAGCAGTAATTAGCGACAAAACGTGTTTTAACATTTTCTCGTACTTTTTGGTTACTAGAAAACAATTCTCTCAGCTGATCTCACGAATCGAAGCATTTTTTTTTTTTTTATTAACGATTATATTAATTCATCGATTTGATGTATTATCAGTATTAGTATTAGCGTTTAATGAATATAAGGGGAAAAAATGCTTTGTTCGACTTAATGTAAATTGTAAGTAGTATTATCATCACAACTATGTGTACGTTTTCCTGTAAGCTATCTCGTCATATTGTCGTGCAGATTTACTATATATTTTACGAATAATTATTGTTAATACCTACTGGGTAGAGGCGTTTTCAAAATTACAAGTTAAAATTTAAGTTATAATTATATATATTTTTTTAATTCTTGTAAAATGTAAATAAACATTTTACAAAACGTGTACAATTATTATATAATTATTTGATACGATTTTTAATACTTAATATTGTTGTGCACTTATTAATAACATTACTATGATGTATACATCATTTCAATCAATTACTCAGCGAGTCACGTTTATAAATTTGCTCATTGCTATCAAGATCTAAATTACGCATTATTGATGAGATAATAAAAATGATTTCTCCACGGAAAATGGTATTCATTAAAATGCAAGTTTATGCATATAAACGTGGGATAGTTACATAAAGCATTACCAGAAACTTGATTTTAATATTATTTTTGTGCTCCTCATCGTAGTATTTACATAAAATCATAATGTGTTGATTACCTCATTGGGCAATTGTTTGTTTTCTATTTCTATGATTAGACAAATATACCTAGTTAAATTGAATTAAATCCTACCATTTTGTATATCACTGTTGTTAAATGTTGCCCTCCAATCGGTCTGTTTGTATAAATGCCAGTTAAAGAAAAGTTATCTGTATCATATTGAATTAATGATGTTATTGGAATATTATTAGTTCGTTTTCTGTTTATTGTACTATCATATAGTTATAACAAATGCTACTTTATTTTGTAAATAAAAGCATTTTTTTTTTTACTAATACACAATACATTTATGTGTTATACCATGAAATTCAATGTGTGTATATGTAAATTATTCTTTTTGTACAATTTGTATTAAATTATCTAGAAAAATTGAGAAAAACAAAATAAATAAACCAATTTATTAAAGTAAAAAAACGATTATTTAATATTCAACTTAAAATATATAAATACACAAATTAATAATATTTATTAATTTCTTGTCTTTTTGTGATGCTTAATATATTATAATATTATATTATATTTTTGTAAATTAGTCGTATCTCCAATTTACAGATTATAATTCAATCAGTCTATCAAAATATTCCTTCTTTTTAATAGGGTCAGGAATTATCTGAAAAATACAAAACATCCATATTTATTTTAACAGCTATTAATATTTTAACATCTATCAAAATATATTTTGGAAGTATTTTATATAAATGCTCTAAGTATTTATATTTTGAATATTTTCATTGATTATTATAACACAAATGTTCACTAAAATGATTTTCTTTTTGATATAATATAGAAAGAATTAAATTTTTTAGTTAATAAATGATTCAATGAGATCAATTTTTAAATTTAAAATGACAATTCGGAATAAATATTGAAAAAGTATAAAATGTCATGATAAGCAAGTCAAAGAGTTATTTAATCATTTCAAATCAAAGAATAAAATAAAAATGGCAATAAAAATATTATTTTATGTAAAGAATGGTATATTTTAAAATTAAAAATTGCATGAATTATAAAACCAAAATGTAATAAGAAAACTTTGAACAAGTCTTATTAAATATTAATCTAATAATAAATAATTCATTTTACAAATTATTATTATTTTAAGAGCAGGATTGTAATTTTAATCCAATGTTTCATAAGTATCAAAAATATGTTTTTTACCGTTTGTCCACCTGGTTTCCAATTAGCTGGACATACTTCACCATGCATGTCTGTATATTGAAATGCTTGAACTAATCTTAGAGTTTCATCTACACTCCGGCCAACAGGTAAGTCATTCATTGTGATTTGTCTAAGAACACCTCGATTATCTATGATAAATAATCCTCTGAAAATAAATGCAAAAAATAATAATTTGTCATCATTAAAATGAGTAAATAGTACCTGAGTGAATGACCGACATCACTCAAATAAACACCATAATCTTTGGATATTTTATGAGTCATGTCTGACAATAGAGGAATAGATAAACTACCCAATCCTCCATCCTTACGCGGAGTATTTACCCAAGCTAAATGAGTAAAATGTGAATCCACAGATGCAGCCACAACTTCAGCTCCAATCTTTCTAAACTCATCGATCCGATCGTTGAAGGCTAATATTTCTGTTGGACATACAAATGTGCTGCAAACCAGAATCTGAAATTATTATTCCAAAATCCAAAATCAGGATGTAAATAAACACTTACAAGTCCAGTGGATAAAAGAAGAACACTAGATACTTCCCATGAAAGTCTTGAAGCTTCAACTCTTGTAAAGTACCATTTATAATAGCTGTACCTTTCCAATTGGGTGCTGGTTTTGATACTATAATTTGTTAACAGAATTGGTGTGAAAAAATGCATCAACCGATACCAAATATTTGTTATAAATACAACAATAGAAATCACTCACTTAATGCTTTGGTATACTGCAATATGTGGTTGGTGGATTCACTGGTGCTGGTAGGAAAGACCGATCCGTCCGCAAATTTCTGACATTTGAACTGGTCCGCAAAACCGACGTCAATAGTAAGAGCGAAGACGAAAGTCAAAAGAAAAGTCATAACCATGGTCTTCATTGGATTGTTTTTTTTTTAAATCAGTATAAGGTATTAATTAAAAATAATAATAAAACCAATAGGGAACATAATAAAATATTGAAATGACAAAAATAATATATTTATCTATTACTGTATTCAGCTTGTAGTCTATACTCTATAAATTATTCATATTTAAAATAATTATATCTAAAAAAATTGATTGTGTGGTATACTTTTTAAATTATATTTATAAATGTTTTTATAATTTGATAACGAATGTTTACATGGACAACAAAAAAAAAAAAACGCCGGAACCTGCCATAATAGGCGCGGTACAGTGTTACAACGGCTGACGAAAATAAAAATATGATACCGTAGTGAATACGGCCGTCGTTGCATAAAAAATTACTACGTTTACATGATAAGAGTTAAGCCGTTCTTAATTTAAACCGATTTTATTCTAAGTCAATTTAAATTGCTTGACTTGTTTACATGTGAGTAATATTAAAGTTCATCATTTTCATTATTCCATGAAATTGGTATTTTTTCCAGATCCATTTTTTTTTTTTTTAATACTAATTAATTATCAATAATCAAATATTTAAATATTAAAATTTGTAATTTATTTCTTAAATTTTAAATATTTTTTTGTATATTATTTAAAAACTTATTTAATATGGATTCTACACAAGTAATCGTTTGTTTAAACCTGTATAAACTTAAATACGAGGCACGTCGCAGTAAATTTAAACTTTTATTACTACGCCTTCGTTTCCCATCTAACAGTTTCATAATATTATTTTCTTTTATAGAAGCAACTAATGTAGCTGTTTCTGCAGAACTCCAAAAACATCTTTTGATTGGGTTATTCATTCCTAATACGATTATAAGTTTCTAATACATACGTATAATAGTTACGACTAATAAGTATAATTAAAATATTCATAAAAATAAATCTGAATAATGTGTTATGTTATCACTTATCAAAATAAAATCGATTCCGTTTACATGAACAAAAATACAGCCGATTTTAATTATTAAACCGATTTATTTTGGTTAAACTCATATTAGAGCGTCCTTAAAATAATGGCGGTTTATGTGATCAAGGTCGCTTTAAAGCGTTTACATAATTCATGATTAAACCATTTTAACTTTTAAACCGCCTTTAATTGTGCATGTAAACGTAGTAAATGATAATCAAATAATATAATGACAAGTCGACCGACTGAAAACCATATGACCGTGTTACCTAAGTAACACCAATAAACATTTAGCGATCAGGATGTGCGTTTGAATCCCAGTAGGCATATTTTAGTGAATAATACTTTCTATGTAGGCAATATATGTATAAGTGGTGCCACGGAGGTACAAACTTTTTTTTTTTATGTATAGATTTTTTTCAACACATTGCCTTATTCACTGGTCATTCTCTCTCCTTCTCTCTATGAACTAATAAATGCGGAGGTTTTTAGAATCGTTAGTATGTTAATTTTCAAATTTCAAATTTTTTTACTGGTTAAAGCGGCTTTCAGTGAATAAAACTTTTTTCAAATCTAAACACGTCGAACGAATGATTTTATCGATTTAAACTACACCGATTTTCGTTTAACTATTCGATTTGTACGTAATGAATTAGGAGAAATTACTCGTAAGTCATAACAACGTTTAATATTTGAAATTGAAGAAATATTGTAGTATTTTATACTTGTAATAACACATATACTAATATTAATTTAAAAATAATTGTATTAATACAAATTTAAATGGATGAACTACTTGAAATAGTAATGGTATATTGTAATGGTATAACTTGTAAGTATGATAGTACTATATAAGTATGACTCTGTTATTTTAAAATTCGATATGTAGTTCGGGTACCTCGATTCCTTTTGTCTTATATATTTTAATTACATTTTTATAAACTAATTTTAATTAATACATTATAATTATAGGTGTAGAATCCAGTGCAGTAAATAAATTTAATATGGTATGAATCAATTTAAAATTTTAAATAAAACAATATTTATAGACAGTCCTTGTAGAAACAGTTACAACACTTACAAATCAACTACGGAAACTTAAATTTCGATGGTATACCTATACAATATTTTACATTATAAATTCATTACGATTTTGACTTTATTCAGGAATTTTATTATATTTCGATTCTATCGATGAAATATTATTGATAGTTTAACCAACTTTTTCATAAGTGAATTTCACGATATTTGTAAGTTATCGACAATTATTTAGAAAATTAAAATAAGTTATATATATAGTTTCTTTATCTAAGAAGGAAGTTTTGATGTACCTAATTTTTTAGTTTTTTATTGGATAAATATTAGAAATATTTTAGTTCTAGAACAAAATTTGGTAAGTAATTTATTATTAATTTAATTTAATTAAAATAATAAAAAACGAGTTCCAGAGAAAAAATTATTTTGTTATGAGACAAATGTAATTTGAGTCTAATAAAATCAAATAATCAAGATAAATTCAAATAATATTTTACATTTTACTATCAATCATTAGAAAAATAATTTAAAAAAATAATAAATACATATTAAGATATGTAAGATTTGTTGATGGCCAAATTATCCGCCTTTTCAGTTCAGATTTGGATCGCGATCCGTCAGTTGCAAACCGCTGTTCTCAGTTAGGATAGTTAAGTATCTATAACTTATAAAATATTTCTTCAACATTAAATTATATAGAAAATTATAAATTATAAATTATTATATTATAATATTAATTATAATAATATTATATTATTATATTATAAATTATATATAGAACTTCAGATTTATTAATTATATGTAGGTATTAAAAATATTCTTCGTTACAATTTATAAATTTAGAATTTCTTATTAATTTTAAGACTTTTGAAACTGATTTTGTATTTTTCAAAAACTAAAACGTTTTTATTTGATTTACCACAAATAACCAAACATCTTTAAAGTTGTACCTAAGAAGTTCGTAATTATTTTATTTTTAGCAAACTGCTTTTGTATTTATATTCACTGAAAGCAATGAGTCCTGAAAAAGAAACCAATGATGTTAATAATGAAATCGAAAAAAAACTTACCATTATTTAATATATACGACTCTGAATATTCAAGAAAAATTGCTCCTGAAAATAGTGGTTTATTTTTGGCTTCAAAATCAACTACGTCTAATTCAAGCAATGATACTACAATATTAAATGAATACGATGAGGATGATGAAGAAGATTTTATAAGTACATTTTTTATTTGAACTAAATACTTATACTTACCTATAATTTATACTTTCTGTGTAAAATACGTATAACAATTGTTTAAATAAGTATGTTGTCATATTTAATTTATGACTTCCTCCATTTATATATATATATATATAGTTTATATGTGTTCATTTTTTAGAAATTTATTTCGCATCTGGTTCTGTACTAAAACCGTCCAATGAACCATACAACTTGCGCTCAAAAATTAATCAAGCTAACCAAGAATTAGCGAAAGACAACGAAAACACATTTTCTAATACTCCTGGAAAAGTCAAATTTGACAATACTGTCCTGATTTTGGATAGTTTTGAAGATATTGGTATAGTATCTATTTATAGTTGGGATATTATAATATTCTGATAGTTAATTATTATTTTTTTTAATTTATAATTATATGTTGTATATAAACAGCATCAAAAACCAGAAATAGGACGGATCACACAGATATTATTATTTTTTTTAATTTTATCATTTGTGATACCTACCCTAGATAGTTTACAATTTATTAATTGACAAACACATTATAGTCGGATGTAAAATTTTAATAAATACTCGTAATTTAAATAAAAAGAGCAATGTTTTTATAATTTATATTTAATATTAAGTACAAAACAATAATTATCTCATACATTTATTGTTAGTTAATATGCTCAAACTGAAAAAAAAAATTTAGAAATTATATTTACCTAATGATTATAGTGTTAAATATATATATTTCAGGTACAGTATCAATTGGCACGGAAAGACTTCAGGGCATCGACATATTTCCAGTGGAAAATGACGTTAAGGAAAAAGACATTTTAACCAAAGTTGATTTGCTACGAAATGAAGAAGTAATTTTAGATAAAGTTGATTTGATTCGAAATGATGAGGATGACCAAAATGATGTAGTTTGTTCGACTACTGAAAGGACACTGGATACTGATACTACTGATGATAAAATGTATTCAAGTACATCATTTAGTAGAAGTTTTTCATTTGAATCTGATGATCCTATGTTTATAAACGTTATTGAATCTGGCGATGAGTTTAAGACAATAATGAACCGAAATAATAAAACACGCCAGGGTTCTGCGATAGATGAACATGTGACATATTTTCCAGAACTTTTCACACACACTCAATACAAAATGTATGAAAATTGTGGTAAAACTTTGGATGACAGCATTGATGACGTGAACATATATGTGCCTAAGAAATTGAACGCAGAAGAGTTAAGAAATAAATTAAAAGAAATTAGTAAAGTTCGTAAAAAAGTAGTGACGAACGAAAAAAAAGTAGAAAAACCTGTAAAAAAAGTTAGTTCTTTTACACAAAATTTTCAAAAAAAAATAAAACATACAAAAACGTTTGAAAGAAGGATTCCGCCTCAGCCTCAACCACAACCTATTAAGCCTCGAATGACTTATTACTTCGAACTAGACCCCAAGGGTAAACTTAAACCACTAAATAAGAATAATATCAGCGAAACGAATTTAAATAATAAATCCACCAAATTCTTTCACATCAATTTAAAAGCAACCAACAACGATGAAAATTCCAAACCTCGCATAACCAAAACTCCAAATACAGATTTATTTTTAGAATTTCAAACAGATAAATCTGGAAACAAAGGAGCGAAATTGGTAATCAAGAAAAAACCGACAGAAGAATATACGGCTAGTAGTATGGCAGGAGCTAAGAAGTCGGTTAGTACCGAACGTCCTCGATTGCCGGGTTATAATGGTCTGAGATCTGAGTATGGTTTGTCGGCTGAACAGCTTTTGGAAAGGCAGAATAAAAAAATGGAACGGGAAAGACGGAGGAAAGAATTAAAACAAAAAAAGCATGAAGAAGAACAAAAAAAGAGAGTAGAAAATGAAAAAAATTTTTATAAATGGTTACAACAGAAAAAGCAATTAAAAAAGCCGGTAAAAACGACTAGACATAGCTATCCGATGAATAGACTAACTGTATCTTCTGCGAGAACTTCTCTGTAAGTTAATAGCTAATCAACTATTTTAAAACAGATACTAAAATATTCTTGGAGGTTTGAAATCTTAATTTGTTTTTCTTTTTAGAAATTGCATTCACAATAGTAGTCAACGAAAAGGATCGTTTGCTCTGGAAGAGTTGTTAAAAATAAACGACGAAAAAAATAGGTGGTTTAAAATTTAAATCATTATTAATCCTCATTAATATAAAAGCATTAGTAGTCAAAATACCAACTGATAATAATTATCAATTACAATTACAACTATTGTAGTAATAAAATTAATATGAATTAAATATTTAAACAAGATATTTCCTACACCTCAAATAATCATATTATTACACACTATACCTATATATATAAGAATAAATAGATTTTGTATTGATTAAAAATATATTAACAATCAGTACTATATTCTTCCAAGCTGTCAATTTTTTTTTTAATAAAACTTTTATAAAACTAAAATCATTCACAATCGAATTTATATTTTATATTTTCATTATAAATTAAATGATTACGATTATAGTAAAAATAATGTTCGCCATTTTATATCAATCCTAATCCAACATTTTATACTTACTTTTTTAATGTTCAGTAATTTTTTTCAAAACTAATCTTTTACATTTTTGTTATAATATATTAATGTTAGTGTGTTAAATTCACGTTTGTTATTTCAATTTTATGTATACAAAGTTAATTTATATTATTGCTTCTTTTGACAATATAGTCTATTACATTTAAAATAGTTTTTGTTAGTTTAAATGAAACTTTAATATGTTTTTTTTTTCTAGATCAATACCGAGTGATATTGTATAGATATGAAAATAATATGTATTTTATTTTTAATGATATTAATAATAGTTATAGAAATGTGTGTTACTTACAGTTTTGTTAAAATGAAAAAGTATTTAATAAAAATTAATAATATTACAATAATTTATATAATGTGGCGAGATATCATTTTAGCACGAGAGCGTTTTAAAATTTAGTATTTGTGCAATAAACCATTTTAATATTTTAATATTGAAAAAGTGAAAACAAACAATTAACACACAACACTATTTATACACACATGAAATATGTTCCTACACTGCAAATAAAAGGCGCAAAAATCATACTATATAATAACATTGTTCTACCTTGGTTCTGTTTGTGTCTCATTTCTAAAGCTGGGTTCACACTATACCGTGACGTGTATTTTACCAGACCGTGTGCTTTGAAAATGTGTGATACCAATATATATCTTATGGTGATGCTATCAAATTCTGGTTACATATTTTCGCAGTTTTTTTATTAGATATGAAATATTTTCATAAGTTTCAATAAATAATAACTGATGAATATTAAATCATTTAGTAGAAAGTATGTATTATATTATTATTGGGGCTCGGAACTTAATGCACTTAAAAAGTACTAAATATGCATGCACTTATGCGCTTAAAAACGTACAAATATGCGTCAAAAATATGCACTTAATTTTTTTAACGCAAAAATATTCATAAATAAAGATATTTTATTAAATATACTCGTACATAACAGTACAAATATTGTTAGTATATTATACTAAGCTAAACATAATTTCTAGGTATAAATATATAACATAAAATAAAATATAAGTAAAATAAATAGCCTGAAATTTGAAATTTTCTTTCAAAATGTTCCCATTAGGTTTTTCATAATGTCATGAAAACAATTTCAACGTTACTTAGCAATAAATTGAAGAGCCCAATAAAATCATGCAAATGCAATACCTTCCGAGCCCTTTGTTTTTATGAATAATGTTATCATAGAATAATAAATTATTACTATTAAAATCGGTAACTACACGTTCAAAAGTTGGATAAAATCAACTTCACGGTATCTTTTGGTTAGTGAGGTAACTTGTGATTTATTATACGGTATACCTTGATGTAACAATATGGTTCAACCAATCAGAGATAATTATTTTAGAAGACACGATACGGCACGGTGTAGTGTGAACCCGACTTAACACAATACCACGGTTAGTACTGTTACGATGGTAACGGTTTCGCGGGAAATTTTTATTCTCGCTTACAGTTTTAACGTGCGTTCCAAGTGCATCGACAGCAAATTTCTTTGTTCCTGGTAAGAGCCAAATCCAAATTCGATTAGTATTAATTAATATCGATTCAAGATCATTGCGTTGTAAAATGGATTGGATCCATTGTAACTCGTGTTTCAGCCAACCCAGAGGAAGAGACGACGCCACTACGCAAAAGTTTTATTTGACCAGCTGTGGTCATATATTTTGCGAAAAATGTGGTTGTTTTTTGGATGGTAAGAATTAACGATTGATTGTTGATATAACTTGCCTTTTGCTCGTTCAGTACAGCTTTATATGTATGTTACGTATTCCCTACGTATTAATTTCGAAATCTATATAGTTAGTATAGCTATACACCAACCAGTGTAATTATAATTATAAGGCTCCAAATTTATTTTAGTCTACATCCATACGACCATATTCGTTTGATTGAAATAATTTTTTTTTAAATGTATTTTCAAAGGCATGTTTACCTTAAATAAATTTAAAATTATTGTAAATTCCAATACAACATTTTATTAATAGGGGCTTAAATTTAAAATTTTACAAACAAAAAATCTTCACCAATTGGTATTGCTCAGGGCAGTTTTTCAAAACAATAACTTATTAATTATTAAAAATTTCAAAGTTTTTACTTCAACATACATAATAATTTTAATCAGTGATTTAATTTAAAGAATTGTATATGTTTTGACTTGCTTTACACAATTACTTCATCATAATTTATTTCTATATAGTAATTAGTAATTACTAATTACATTACATATTAACTTATTAGCATATAAAACTTGAGGTGGCTTCCTGAGCCCTGACATAAACTATAAACACAATCAACATTATTATAGTTATCTATATTAGTTATTATATATTTATATTTGTTTGTAGGAGTAAATAATAGTGCATCATTTATGTTATCGTGCTTTGTCGAATTAAAACTAGGACTTAGTAACAAGGTTCTCTAAATTAATAATTTTTCGGGAATTATAATTTGTTATTTTAAATAAAGTCATCGCTATTAGAATCATTCGCTTTTGCAGATAAAATATATTATTAAATTATAAACTTCCGAAATTCCAAAATAGACTGAAATATTAAAAACCCTTTCAAAATATCATCTATTCATATTTTTAGAACATGTTCACTAACATAAAGTTTGTTTGTACATAAAAAAAAAAAAAAACATTTCATTTTAAAAAACATTAATTATTATATTCTTTACTTTTTTATAATCTAAAATAAGTTTAGGTATGACATAGTAAATAAAAATATAAAATATTTATAAAATTACTCACAATATTATTATAAATAAACATATACATTACATATTATTATATTTCCATTAAACATATATTAATTAACAAGAATGTAAAATGTAAAAAGATATTAAAACCAGAAATCAGGATAGTTTTGGTTTTTATACTTTTAGAAAAAAATGTTTTTCTATAAAATTATTAAATATTTATAAGAAACCAAATGTTATTCAAGATAAATTTGAAATATTAGAATATAGTTTATTTTTTTTTAAAAAACAAAATATATTAGAAATAGTAACTGCTTCCAACATTTAACTTTTTTTCTTAAGTTGTATATTTTGTTAAAAACAACAACAAATAGAAAATTATGTGTAAAGACTTGATAACTTATGTATTTGAACCATTATTTGAATCAGGAAAACAAATATGAAGTTTGTCCGCAACAACATGTATATTAACTTTGGCCAAATACATTTCGTCACACCCTCTTTTTATCATAGTAAAGTGAATGATTATAATAGTTTCACTAAGACAATATCAGAGCTCATTAACACATCATGTTATTAATTTAAAACCACTTCAGAGCATTTAATTATTCACACAATTAATGTAAATAGTCATAACATAGTATATTACCTAACCGATAATAAAGATATCATTTCCATGCATTTTTACCCAACACAGAAAAAAGTTTGTGTTTATTCGGTCACTAAACATATATAGTTAGTAGACAAAAGTTATGACGTGATTCGTGTCACTAACATCATCAACAAATCACAAAAACCAATTTGCCTCTATTTTGAATCGATTTAAAAGTTTACAATAACAATAACGAAGTTTTTAAATTAGACCATCTGCTCTATTAAAAAAAAAAAAAAATTGAGCTCCTGAGGAAAAAGTTCTTTCCACCTTAGTGTAAATAATGTTAACCTTACTTCCACATAGCAAACTATTGTTACTATTACGCACGCAGTGTTAAGTGTTGTGAGAGAAACCTTTCTAGTGATTGCAAGAAATCACTATCAGATCCTGTTAAATTCGCATTACACTCATGGAAACGTACAGCATCTCCTCATAATTCTAAATGGGTAACATCAGTAGCGACTCATAGTAAATATTCTGGAGAGAATTAAAGTATTTAACATAAATTCTATACAACAACGAACATGAAAAACGCTTTTATTGGAAAATTAATAATACTTAATACTTCATTTAATATTTAGTTAATATTTTTAACTTAATTTAATGGTAAACTTTTATTTAAACTAATTCAATTTTGCCATTGTTTTTATCTACGAATTCGTAGATGACGGCGTACAGCGACTAACGACGACGCTATGGCACGGAAATTATCATCGTGAACCCATTTTCAATAGCGTCTATAACACACGCATTATTCTCCCCGGCCCCTCCGTCCAACGAGCCAAACCATTACATGTTACGATTGAACCTGTCAGACGTCAGTTTCACTGAAACGGTGACCATCGTCGAACTTACTAAAATAGTGTTTTCATCGAAATAACTATAGGTTTTATATTTTGTGCAGAGACAGGAATCGAACCGAAAAGAACCGGTTTTGGAATCGGAACCTTTTAAATAATAGGAACCGATACCGGAACCGAAACCTTTATTTTGATAAATGAAGTAGCGGAACAGAACTGGAATTTTTAAATTATAAAGGTTCTTTTAGGTTCCAAAATTAAATAGTTTTATTTAGCATAAATTATTTGTAGTTACTACTTTGTTTATAAATAATCAGGGATCCATTCTTATTATGTTTATTTCTAGAACTATACAAAATTCTATTCTTATATTCATATTAGATTAGATTAGAATATCATATATTCTTATATTCTTATTATTCATATTCTTTACCTATTTAAAATTATATTTTTGAAGTGTTTATTACGTGTATATATATCACAAAATATTATATAGAAATGTTTTTCCCAGTATATACCATAATTGGAATCAATATTATCTTCCAAATAAAGCGATGGTATTAATAAAATAGTCACCCGCTAGTGTAAATTGTAATTCATAGTTTATTAACGAGTATTGTAAATATTTTTTAACTTTTTTGCTTCTATGGAGCGCAGGCTATTATTTATAATTCAATTATTTTTAACCTATTTATCGTATGAAATTTTTAATTTAAAACTTTATTATCTTCTGAATTCTGATACATAACAATTTAGTTTTACCAGTTATAACAGATTTAATAACAGTATTACTATTTTGTGTATTTTATAGGGGGTAACGTTAATTGTCAGCAATACATATTAAAATAATTTTTCGTTTAGTGCTATACTACACTAACAAATGGACAATAGTATATATATATATATATATACTATATATAGTATATTCACTATTTTTTTTTTTTCATTGATATGAAATAATATTAAATTTTACTGATAACAGGAATCGGTACCTTTATTAATTTTCATCATAGAACCGAACCAGAACAGTTATTTTATTTTCTGAGAACCAGTTCCGAAACCGATACCGATAAATTCAAACGGTTCTAGTCCCTGATTTCGTGGCTAATAATTTTATAATAATAAATATAGAAAACTCTATAACATACGAGTATTTTCAATAAAAATAAAAATATTTCCATGCATTTTTAAATAGTTATTATTTACAAGTAGCTGTTTTTTTTTTAAGGGGAGACGCAGTCTCAAAGTCTTCTCTGACGAGCCGCCCCTGGATAACACACCATAAATTTCTTAGATATCACGCCGCCCATTATTGATGAGTATCTATCAACTTGTTACCGGTTGTTAGGATACTTATTGACAACAAAATGTTGCTTAGTCTGTGCATACCTTTACAAAGAAGGTCTATCTACAATGAACACCATCAACATTGCTGTACCACCCATTCCTTAAAACAACTCCCCCCCTCAGATTTAATCCAAAACCATAAGTGTCATATTACTAAATTTTTTGACAGTTTTAAATTAATATTACTACTACTCTATTTGATAAATATTACAGGAATGGTACTTAGTATTTTACTTCATTTTAGAAGGGTCTAGGGACACCACTGCTATACATACCCACTGATAACGTACTTAAATTATTCTAATTGTTTATTTAATTATAATTTTCTTACTATAATTTTTCATTCATTGCCATTTAATTTAAAATGTTTGTGTTTTGTACTATTGTCTATACTTATAAGTTAACTAATTGTAATTATTGAACTCTAATGATTCTTCGCAAAAGTTCTTTAAATAAAAATAAAAAAAATCTATAAAAATTGTTGGGGTATTTTTAAAATTTGATAAACAATATAATACCGTATAATTTATTATATTAATTATTTATGAATGTGTAAGGATCTCAGATGGATTTTTCATAATTTTCCAAAATTATTTTATTTTGTACAAATTTTAATTCAGGTACACTGGATTGCTGCAAACATTGTAGAAATAAATGTTCATCTACTACAATTGAAGAAAAGGTATGAATTTAAATGATGAAATAATTTTAAAAGAACTATTTTTATTGAATAAACGATAGGTATATTTATAAAAAAAGATAACGTTTTAGTCATTAAAAAGAAATCCTGAAGTCTTAGAATATTTTCAAGAACCAGAAGAAGTATCTGAGAAATTAGTCAAAGTAATGCAGTTTCAAAAAGCACATCGTATTAAATTAGTTGCATATCACCAAAACATGGTAAAATATCTATTTTAAATATTTTTCTGTTGGTAAATTTAAAATAATTTATACCTTCCATATTATTTATAGTTATCAAAATACAATAGAGCAAAAATGTATATAAAGAAACTTGAAGGTGAATTAAAGATCGCTAAAAAGTGAATACTATATTTAGTTTAATATCATATAATATAAACCTAATATGATTAATATTATATAAATTATATAATTATTAAATTAATTAATTATATTATTATTATATTAATATTATATTTATGTATTACCATTTTGAAGTGCATTGCGAAATACACCTCAAAAACTGCAAAACTGCAACGTATCAGAAACTCATTCCAATTCAATGCCAATTTTTCAACCAAATTCAACCCCTTTTATGATGATAAATGATGAAGCCAATATCCGCAATTCTAACCCAAACATTAATCCAAAACAATCTGATATGAAATATAGGTAGTTATTAAAATGTTTTAATTCTCTTATTTCAATCATGTCTTATAACATTAATATTTTCGAACATAAAATTTTAAATAGAAAACAGTCATTTCAAAATATGTTATCAATTTTATCATCAGGAAGTACTACATCTGGGATACCTACACCAGGTTCTTCTGTGTATGCCAGGTAAATGGCAATTGCCTATTTTTATCATTTTTGTTGAATAATAATTTATATTGAATTAACTATGTTGATCATAAATGCTACTATGAATATGAATACAATAAAATTACAAAATTACAACTAACATGAATATTTTATATACATACACAAAAACATGCAATAAAAATTTAATTTTAGAGTAAAATATTGATTCTATAATGAATTGAGGTGCATAATATATTTTTGACTTAGTTAAATTAAAGATTTACATGTAATTAGAAAATAATAATTATTATTATGTTTAAAATTAACTAGTGAATGTTTAATAATTTTGAATACATTTTATCATTTTATAATTTAGTCCTATGCAAGAAAATTGTGATTTAAAGTACATCCCATCAATAAATAAACTACGATTAAATTCATTTGAATAGAGGTAAATATTTATAAATTGTTATAGGTTTATAAAATAATAAATGATTAATACATTGTTAAAAATTTTCAGATAAAAAAAAAATTAAAAGAGGCAAAAAAAATCAAAGTTTAAAATGTAGTTATTTTGATTTAGAAATACATTTACTACGCCAAAAACCATAATGTATAATTATTAAAAGCTGCACAATTTTTTTTTTAAATGTATAGATTAGCATAATCTAGTATGTATGATGTCAGACACTTATAGTAAATTTGTATTATTTTATTTGATTGGAAGGCACCTATAACTAGAATATAATATTTTTAATTATCATACTCATTTTAAAATCTTAGTTAAGGTTAATGAAGTAATGTGAAAATGTATTGATGTAAAGCTGAATTTAATTTATTATTTTATTATACATTTATATTTTAAACCAAAAGCATAAATCCAATAATTCTATAACATTGTATTTTTATTTTATATTTTTATGAGTATGTAAAAAAGGAACATAACCATAGTAAACTTTTGAGTTTAATGTTCATTTCTTGGCAACACTGTTCTTTAATTTCTTATAAATATCTTATTTCCATGTTTTAATCTATACAGAGTCATTTATCACAATTTTTCATTTTGAGTGGTGTGGTTTAAATTAATAAAATAGTTTTTCTTTTTGTCTATAGTTTATTGTATTCATTAACTTAATTTAATTCACCTTCATAAATTTTAATATTTAAAAATAAACAATGGCTAACGATGAAAATTTAGTTTTGTGTTATAATCGCGGATGTGCTGCGAAATTCTCTCCAGCATTTAATTCTGAAGGTATTTATTATTAAAATGTTGAAAAATGTATACATTTAATGCCTATTCATTATTATTATTTATATCATGCTTTAATAGTATTTGTAAGCTATGAAATTTAATTCACTAAAATAAATTCATATGGCAATTTATAAACAAAATTAAATGTATATTGTGAGGTATTTAGTTATTCACTGGATAGCTATTGATATAAACATTTAAATACTGAATTGTTAATGTTTTAATATATTTACCAACTATAGTATTGGGTAATATTATTAGACTACCTGTAAAATTGATTTCATTTGTTATGTTAAAAAAGTTAAATGAAAATTGTTAAAATTAAGTTTTAATCTTACTCATATGCAAGATTTGTTGTACAAATACCAAACATATTTGTTATTTTAAAGGTAAATGCCAATTTATTTTCTATTTTTTTATCATTAATGGTATCTTCTTAAATTACTAGAAGTATAACTAGTTTTAGCTAATATGTGAATAATTTGTTAAAATAATTTCAAATATGAAATATTTTAATCTTAAGTATATAAGAATTTAATGTAATTCGATAAATAATTTATCATTTTGGTGTTTTTCATACTAATATAATAGATTCCTGTGTATTTCATCCGAGTGAACCTTTTTTTCATGATGCATATAAAGGTTGGTCGTGTTGTCAAAAGAAATGTACCGATTTTACTGAATTTCTCAATATAAAAGTAAGTTATATTTAAATTATTTCTTATATTATTTTTATATTTGAATACTTGTAGGGTTGTACAAAAGGTTATCATAATAATACAAAACCAAAAGAGCCTGAAAAATATGTTCTGGATAAAAACACCAAAGATGATATCATTGAATATCACGCTCCAAAATTAGAATCATTGCCTAGACCACCAGCTACTTCACCATTAAAAAGTATCATACCAACCATATCTTCTTCTCTGTTGCAACAAATTAATTCTATAAATATAAACAATACAAATCAAAATGACAATAATAGTTCAAGCATAACTATTGGCACTATGTGTAAGAACAGTGGATGTAAACAGGTTTTATTAATTTATGTTTAATATTATGATTATTTAAACATATTTACTATATCATTGCTCCAATATTGTAGGCGTACGAAGGTTCAGAAAAAGATAACCTTGCCTGTATTCATCATTCCGGTATACCAGTATTCCATGAGGGCATGAAGTATTGGTCATGTTGTAACAAAAAAACATCAGATTTCAATGCATTTTTAGAGCAAGTTGGATGTTCTCAAGGAAATCATTGTTGGATTAAAGACTTGGTAAATATTGTATTAATATTAAATAAAAAAAAAAAAAAAAAAAAAAAATGATTATTTCATTAAAAGCTGAAGTGAGTATTAAGTAGTTGTTATTTTTTATTTAGAAAACTCAAGGACAAACAAACTGTCGATTAGATTGGCATCAGACTGGACCCTGGGTTGTGATATCAATCTTTGCTAAAAAATATGATCCAAAAATTTCTTTTGTGAAATTGTCTGCTATTAAAATGTCAGTTAAACTATTTTTTCCTTCTGAAAATTCAACTTTTTCCAAGGATATTGAGTTATATGGGGTATTTAATTGTCATATAAACATTTGGTCAAATATTTAATTAATTATGATTAATTTTCTAGATTGTTGATGTTGATAATAGTTATGTCTCCATGTTGCCGACTAAAGTTGAAATAAAGCTTAAAAAGGCTGAACCAATATCTTGGGGTCGATTGGACTATCCTAATGAAAATTTTTCAAATGTTATGGACCTGTCTGTAAATTCAAACACTAACACCAATCATCAAAATATGGATAGTACTGTTGAAAGTGTTGACCTTGGAGATCTTTGATTCTTTAGAATAAATTAGAAGCACTTTATTTGTACTTTAAGATCAATTTCTAATTTAAATTGATTTTTTTAAATGCTTTCAATAAATTATGTATTAATTTGAATTTGTAACTAACATAATTTTATTTAAAAATAATATTTTGAGTTATAGTGTCTTAAAATTAGTAATTAATTATTTGTAAAAGCATTAATATAATATATTCTTATATTCAAGGTATAATGATTTACGTAGTGCAACGTCAATTCTGTTTATAAAGATAATAATATAGAATTATCAGAAGATGAGCTTATGACTCAATAATTATGAACAATAGCGTAGCCAAGGATATGGTCCTCCCTCATGGGCCGTGTTTATGCACTATACCAGTATACTACTAGTTGATATTTTAGTATTTTAAAACGTTGGTACTAAATGTTGATCATGAATGTTGTGGCGACTAGTCTAGCTCTATAATTTTATAATCATTATAGTTTTTATAGTATGTCATGTCATGTTAATGCTGTTGCAGCTAACCACCGTTAATTTATTATTTTTGTAAATTATATTTTATTAATTATTATTAAAACTATTTTAAAATGCTGAAAATACATTTATAAACTGATGGAAAAAACTGGTGAAAGGTGAACTATTAAATCCACTCTTATCTAATCTGGCCAAAAACTCATTTAACCCTCCCATTTAAAAATCTCAGCTATGCCACTGATCATGAATATTTCTTAAGGTATCAAGGTAACCCATTCCTAAAAATGTTTTAAATGTATAAAAATACATTTTATTCTGCTTAACCTCCAAATTGTGACTAAATCTCACTGTTTACATTTAAATTTTAAATTATAGTTTTATTAAAAAAAATGTTGAAGAATACTAAACTTTATTACTATCATGAAATAATGAGATTATGAAAACTGATCTTTATGAATTATCACTGGGTAAACATTCTAAAATGTAAAACTGTCAAAGTTTATAAAATGTAGTCTTATATTATTTCTTATTCATTAAATGGCGGGAAGTATAAGAACTATCAGAATGAGGCTGATCTCTATTCCAAGAAAAACAGTATTTGAAAAGAGTAAAATCCAAATTGTTCTAGCAACTTTATTTAAGGGTGTGAATAGTCAAATTAGTAAAAACAGTTATATTTTTCATAGATATCTGTTTTAATGGTGAATTTTACTTGATTCTAATATTTTAAACTAAAATTATAACTTAAAAATGGCAAATTTTAAATACCTAGAATGTAATGCAATGAAGAGTCATTTTAAAGTTCTATATACAAACAAAATATTTAATCCCTAAAGCAGTGCTTCCCAAATTTTTTCGACTCACGGCGCCCTTTTTAATTCAAGGCTTTTTCAGGGCGCTCTTCCCCTAGTCATAGCATGGTTAATCATACGGACAATTTTGGAACAGATATTATTTCATGACAGCGCGGCGCCCCTATACAGACATCGCGGTGTACCAGGGTGCCACGGCGCACACTTTGAGAACCACTGCCCTAAAGCATAATATAATTACTATAGAAAACAACATTATTTGCATAAATCTTAAGTAAATTTGACAGCAAATAGTAGACTGAAGGAAACACCTCAAAAATAAATTATAAAAAGGTTATCAAACTAATATTAAAAATATAATACGACCTTAAAATACTTTATTTTATCATTTTTTTTAGAGCCTATCTAAAGGTGCGTTTTTCTTGCAACGTCAGACGCATTATCACTAGGTACATGCATTTTATAGGTAATTTTTTTTTATACTTACGTTTAATGCATCACGTCGGTAAATTATGCAGTGCGTTCAGGCGTACTACTAATCTGCACTAGTGCAACGTTCAGACATCTTGCGTTTAGACAATAAAAATGCCCAAACTACTTGTGCTTTCAACAATTATCATTATTTATTATCGTTATTAAAAATATGTCCTTTAGTCAATTGTTTAAAAAATCCTTCAGTTTTTCTCGTAGACACTATACTGTTGAATGTATTTCTCTGTTTAGGAATCATTCGAAAAAGTAATACATCTTCAAAATCTTGTTCTTTGAACATTTGACAAATAATATTATTATTATTTAAAATTAATTGTCGTTGCATTTGGATAAAGATATTTTTTAAACAAATTTAAATAACTACGTTTATGTAACCAATTACTGTTGCAAGTACTAAGATAGAATTTCAGTGAACGCAGTTTGATAAAAAAAAAACAAAAATGACTGCGTCTAGACGCAGACAAATTTTGCGTTTGAACACTACTGAGAAAACGTAACTTAACAGCTTTATTTGTGAATACAGTTACGACACCACGACTTATGTATTTTGTAACCTATGGACATTAAAATATGTATGCAATTTTACGAACGTCTGACACGAGAGAAGAAAACCATTTTAGTGATTAGTGTCAAGTTAAATGTTCAATTTGTTTGTATTACAGTAGGTGGTTTTTTAATTTCAGTTCGTAAACAATTGTTTCATCTATACTATTGTCAACTAAAGTCACGTGATATTGACGATGAAGAAACGATAAAAATATTTATTGTTTTATATGTGGACCTGTATTATACCTATATGCAGGGGCGTAATTTCAATAAAAAAACTGTGGGTGCTGAAGCCCTTCTAATTTTTCATGTTCTTCATTGGTTAGTTGATGATCATCAATAATATCAAAATCATTAACTGATTTCAACAAAATGGGATTGACTATTAGGTAAACGAATTTACTCGACATTATCGTAACACGTCGTACGGTACGACAATAACGCGCCGCCTCGCGTGAGATGCATGATATTTATGTATTTTTTCAGTTCCGATCGCCGTAGTATTTCTGCTCAGGAGATGGACAGGAACGACAAGCGGTTGCAACTGAAGGCGTTTTGTTTCATCTGCGGATGGCCACAGTTTCTGGTCTGGCTGACAAAGGACCAAGGTGAGTACGGTTGAGGTTTTATTTTCGCTACGGCAACTTTCGATCTCCGTTGGGGTTTTCTTAACGTATCTCGTTCGTACTATTCCCGTATTAGCTCGTCGAGTTTTCGCGCATCACGGTTGCTGTGCCGGACTGGAAGAACCGCAAAACGGCGCTCTGGCTCATGATGACGTCGGTGGTCGATCGGCTCCCAGTCCCGCAGCCTTTTCGGATTGTGGTTCGCAAACGGACCCCGTGTCCGTCACCGTTCCAGTGGCCAACCGCGACTTCGGGTGTGGCAACTCTTGCGTAAGGTTCGTTAACGTGTGCACGCAAACTTACCCGTTCGTCGGGAAAGTCGCGTCCGACGTCAATGAATCTATAACGAGGAGGCGAATTTTGCATCGATTTACGATGCGGTCGACTCGGTGACCAGTGTCCGCGTGTCGATAGAACAAATCAGTCCGTTCGATGATGACAAAGACGAAATTGTCCCTAAGATTCGATAAAATACATCTTGATAATGAAGTTAACGCCAGCTCACCGAACATGAAATACATAATCAACGATATTGAAGGTGACTTAAAATATTGTATAAATGTTTAATTTCTTAAACTTTTTTTCATTACTTTAATAACATTTTATATTTTGTTTACATAATATTTATTTTTTCTTATAATATAATATTATTATAATATTGCATATTTTTATTTTTTGTTTCTTATTTATATCATCGCATACACGATAAAATACATAATTAATAATGTAGGTAACATATTTAAGATTAAGAAAAACTGATTTAATGATGAATTTATAAAACTATAAAATATAATAACTAAAATGGGTATAATTTTTTTTTTTTTTTACATGGAAGAAAATTCATATAATATTCAAGACAAAGTGCAACTGAATAAGTTTCTATATCTTTGTTTTCAATTGAATATAAATATTTATAAGATAGAATTAAAATAAAGTGGATTCCACCTAATGTAGGCATCGGTTAATGTGGGTAACAGGATTCTCAAAATGCTTCTTTAATATAAAAATAGTATCTTAAAAGTTAAACAAATGCAAGTTTTGTTGTATTACCAATTTTAAATACACTGAAATGCATTCATGACATAATATTAAAATGTAATCTAAGATCATTAAATACTGGCTAGATTGACAAGGTTTTCTTTAACAGACTTATTAATATGAAAATCAATGTAAAATCAATGTAAAATCAATAATATATATTTCAATCAGTATGGTTATATACAATAACTAGCCGACCCGTCACAGCTTCACCCGTGATTGGTTGTTTATTTTGCTTTCGGACCATGATATGTAGAATTTTTTATTCAAATATTATTGTTTAATGTGATCGGCAAGTAAATATAAAAAAAGGCTCAATGAAAACGGATTGAAATTTTTCTAGAGTTATAAATGATAAAAATAAATACAGATAAAAAAGAAATAATTTATGTTTGAATAATTTAAGAATTTGAAATTTAAAAAAGAAAATTAAAAAAAAGCCATTCAATGCCCCGGTTTAGGGATTTAAAAATTTGACAACCCTATCTATTACTATTATCCAGTTCGAGGACCGAAGAGATGAAGGACGAACTTCCACCACAATTATTTAAATAATAAATGTATATATTTTTACAATAAAAACTCAGTTTTCTATACAAAATGAGTATTGAGTACTTAAATGTAAATTAACATGAGTACGTTTTGGGGTGCTAGGCACACCCAAACTCCCCTTCGATTGCGCCTATGCTTATATCCATATATCGACAGATGAAAATGCATTATTACGCAAATTCTTTTTCACTTTAGGGATAAAGTCTATATTGTAATTATTATTATGTTTTTGTGCAATTGAATTATTATTGGTACACCGATTTAGACATAATTTGTGTTAAAAATCTTAGATGGTTGCGTACCGATTAGGGTTTGTTTAGTATGTGACGGTAAACCTTGAAAGAAAATATGATTTGGAGATTAGAATTTATTTTGTGCTTTTTTTTTTTTTTGCTATCAGATAATATTATGGTTATTTAAATGCAATTAACATGTTTAGTATGTGATGCGATAAATAATATTAAAAGCAATCAACGAAAAGAAAATATTGTATAATACATTTAATTAGAAATGTATGCACTGAAAAATGAGAACTATTTGATTTTTCTAAGTGTCTTTAATTTAAAATTCCAAATAATAAAATATTATTCATGTAGAATTGATCAGTGTTCACATCGACAATGTTTGTTTCTAATTCGTACGTTTGTTTTGTTGATTCAAAATTTTGACAGCTTCGGCATATTTATTTAACATGTAAATATATTTATGTTTATGTTACAGTTATAACTATAGACTATAGTCTTGAATTTTGTTATTTTATGAAATACCTGCGAATGTTAGTTTAAGTATAAAATTATACTTAAACTAGTTATTTCATAGATTATCTAGTTATTTTATACAATTTTAGTTTGATTTCTGTTAAAGTATAGAATAAATTTAAATTTAAAATGTATAGTTGAGCCGTCACGACTTCGCCCGTGATTAGTTGTTTATTTTGCCTTCGGATTCGGACGATGATATGTAGAATCGTTATTCAAATTTTATCGTTTAATGTGATCGGTGAGTAAATATAAAAAACGAATAATGAAAACGTATTGAAATGTTTCTAGCGGTATTAATGATGAATATATTTTTATTAAAAATAATTACAGGTACAAAAGAAAATGTAATGCTAATTAATCTATAGTTGATAACTATAAATATGTTGATAACAAATGATATAATAAAGAAATAATATAAGATAAATATAATATATATATATGAGAATTTTATGAAACTTCTGAGTACATGTTTTTTATTCTCTCCTGTTGAAATCAAAATCATAAGATGATTCGGGTTTGTCCATGTAAAAATCAATCTGAAGGTAAATTGACGACAACGTACCTAAATGTTTGACCTTGAGCTTTGTTAATCGAAAGAAAATTTAACAGGAAATTGAAGCCGTTTGAATGAAAACGGCAAGTAAAGGTTTTTTAACAATGTAGGTGATTTAGACTTGTTTCACTTACCATAAATATGTAAGGGTAAAATTGCATGTAGGTGACAGTTTTGTTCTATTTTAGTTATTTTGCTGTAAAATATTAATGCGATATCCGTCTTCAACTCTAGTATATACACATGGACGTAGATTGGTATTATTATCTGTAGGGGCTATATTATTGGACTAGAAGAATGTATTCCAGAAACTCCTTATCTTTAGTTTGAATTAAAGCGAAAGAGAACATTTCCTAGAAAAAACAAATTATAGGTGTCTCATTCTTTACCTGACATTTTATTTAACAATACATAAAAACAAATAATTATTTTTGAGTTATTAAATTAAACTTATTTTTTTTTAAATAATTAATAAAATATCGTTCAACAGTTAATAGTGTTTTGCTCAATTTTTCAAAACATTATCAACTAAGCGACAATATATTGTCACTAGGCGACATTTGTGTCGCTAAACAACATGTTTGAAAAATGCACTGAAAAAACATATAAACATTTGTGACCATAAACGTATAATAGAATTAATATACGTACATGTTTGTGACAACTGATAACTTATGGTGCGAGGAAAAATTTTAATATAAATAATTTTAAGGAAAAACTAATATAAAAATTTCAAAACATCGATAAAACATCGATGTTTTCTTCGATATATCAAAGACTAAACATCGATGATGAAACATCGATGTACCGAACATAAACCTTGATGTTTTAAAAACATATATGTTTTTAAGTCCACTTTTAGTAATTACGTTTAGTTTAATTTGAGTTGGTGTTGTTTACAAGTTCCCTAAGTCTAGCAGAAATGAGTCATTTAATGCAATTTCAGAATACTCGGGTTAAATATTGTTAAGATCATCAGGTATTGACGGATTGTTAATTTTAATTTTACTATTTAATGGACTTGGATCATCTACTGCAGTCTTCGTTGTCCCTAGTTGGTGGTAATGTTTTCATGTCAGGCTTTTTCTTTATATTAAATATACTCATAGGCGTATCTAGGGGGGCTTGGGGGCTTAGCCCGCCAGTGCGAATATTAGCCCCCCCAGAATTATTTGTATTATTTTTGCTCATTTCGTCGAGTAGTCTTATTTTCATTTAGTTTAGTGTTTTTTTTTTATTATTATTATTGTTGTTTTTGCAGCCCCCCCCCCAATACATTTGATCACCCTACGCCTATGAATATAATTTTTAAAAAAATAAGAACGAGAAAAAAAGAAACAAAGGTAACAAAATTAATTAAAAATGTATGAAATAATACGATTTATAGTAAAATATAAGACAGACGTGTGTGTAATTAGCAGTACACGAGCAAACAACAAAGACATATCAATTTTGAGAAAAATATCGATAAATAATTAATTATGATGTGTGTGTTCCATACAATTAAATCATTATCCATTATCGTTATAATCATCGGACGACGGGATAATGTATGGCACAACGATCTCACAGGGTAAACCCAAAAAATTAATACGACGTTGATCTATAAATAAACATGTTTGTGATAAAAGTAAGTAGTTTTTATCAGAGGCGTATTTAGACTTACTTCTAGGGGAGGGGGGTGACTCAATTTTTTTTTTAATTCAAACTCGAAATTTATAAGTCAAATTTTGGTGATATTTAAATCGGATGAATCCTTAATATTTGTGGTTTTTTCTTAATCTAATGTTGGATCCACTTAAAATCGACTTTTGCGTAGTTCTTTTTTAACACCTGGCTGTGGTTTGAGAGTTACACTTGTGTTTTATTTGATTTTTCACTAAGTATAGACCCGAACAAAAAGTTCAATTTAGTATTCACAGCTACGCGTAATTTGATTTCGTTATAAAATGATTCACATTAAAAAAATTTGTAATGTGTATCTCACATACTTCTATAATCGATTCCTTAAATACGGATTCAGGAGGAGCGATCGCCCCCTAAAATACGCTCCTGGTTTTTTATGAATGTTAGTGCAATAATTGTCAATACACAATAGACAGTTAATATTTAAAGCTTGATGAATTTTAGAAAAAATTATAAAAACATTTAAAACTAGAATTTATTAATTTTAGTTAAAATGAGGGGGCTACAGCCCCTACAACCCCATTCATACTACGCCCATGTGTATACATTAACGGATATTGCAGTGCATCATAAGATTTATTAAATTCTGAAACTCGACGCAATTGTTCATTCCAACCGTGCAGAACTATATCTCTGGGAACTTTATCTTCATTAACTAATAATACTAAAATATATTTGTAAAAATTTAGCATTATTTCCAATTTCGGGTAATAAACTACCTATCAAATTATGCGCTTGACCCTGCATGTATTATTTGTATATTATGTATGATTATTGGTTTTATAATCATTATTTTCAATTTCATGTTCAAATAAATTTGTATAAAATTATAGAAATTCTAATTTACGAACATAATGTGAGATTAGTGTTTAAATTTGTATTATATATTTGAACTATTTTTCAGAAAATTGATGATAAAACAATAGTCCGATAATTATTTTTAAATA